TTTTTTTTAAGTAAAACAGCTTTATTTTTCATTTTTAATAGGAAAAAAATGATAAATTACTAACAAAATGACTAATTAAAATGTCATATGGTTAAAACATTAAAATAGGAGATCACTAAAATCATTAATAATAAATTTTGTTCCACAAAAAAAAAAAAAAAAAAAAAAAAAAAATCGCTGTATTGTATTTTTTAAGTAAAACAGCTTTATTTTTCATTTTTAATAGGAAAAAAATGATAAATTACTAACAAAATGACTAATTAAAATGTCATATGGTTAAAACATTAAAATAGGAGATCACTAAAATCATTAATAATAAACTGATTTTGTTCCAGATATCAAAAATTGGCACACATGTCCCCCTAGTGGCTAATTAAGGTCAGAATCAGAAGGAAAAACCATCAGCTATATTCATTGCAATATTAAAGGCAGAGTAAGTGATTTCTGGTAGCCAATGTTGATATTTGAAATCACCAAAACAAACACACCCCTACCCCAAAAGGGTCTTGCCCCTATTTTGATAGCTCCGCCCCACATATACATACGCTCGCAACATCTCAAATCGCGAATTCGATTCGATTTCGATTAATCGCACAGCCCTAGTCTTAAGTGAATGTTAGAGGCAGAGTAAGTGATTTCTGGTAGCCAATGTTTATATTTGAAATCACCAAAACAAACACGCCTCTACCCCAAAAGGGTCTTGCCCCTATTTTGATAGCTCCGCCCCACATATACGTACGCAACCCAGGCAACGATTAGTTCTGTGAAACAAAGCAAAACTAATGTTACACCGTGTCTACGGACGTGAGCGGCGCGGTGCAACAAATCCCCGACAGAAAACTGCTGCGGGGTTCTATTTATGACGTGCTGACACAAATTTCAAATGGTTTTCAACGGTCGTTTGACCTCTTTCTCGCGTCCAGTGTAGGCAGACTTTAGTTGTTGTAGACACGGTGTTACTCACCTATTGAGAAGAAACAAAGCAACCTCGGCGTCCGATCGCAGGCCTCCGCTCCTTGAGTTCTCTCCAGCGCTGGAAAGCTGATCCGATATTTACACGGGTCCTACTTCTTGCCTTATTGTTCCGCAGACGTTTTCCTCTTTTGTTTTTTATCCGCCATCTCTATCTTTCTGTCGCTCGGCTCGGCTAATGTCCGTCCCATGCACTGAACGCGCTCTCCTCCACATCACGAGTAGACACGCCCCTTATTGCTGATTGGCTACAAGTTTGTTTTGCAATTCGGCCCGAATCAGTTTTCTAAAGTGTTTTTGAAAAATCACTTACTCTGCCTTTAATATAGGAAACATTTAAAACATTTACTACAAAAAGTTTAAATATCAAAATCATGAGTATATGAAAAATAATAAAAGCACTAACAAATATGAAATGTCTGATCATAAAATAATGTTTTTAAATAAGGTGTACTGTAGCCAGCAAGTTTGTGGCAACCACTACATGCAACAGAAAAATGTAGTGTAGATAATACAAAAATGACCAACAGTACACTTATGGTTCATTCTGGAGTTTTTTTTTTCTCTATCTTTATCCTGTTTCAAAGAAAGACTCTGTAAAGTAAAAGAGATAGAGCCATAAAACATTTATAGACACAGACAGAAATATGTCATTTATGTAAAAGATGTATAGTATATGAAGCATAACACGAACCATTACCTGTGTGTCATCTGGTCTGTGCTAGAATCTCTTGACAGCTCCTGTACACTTGAACCAAACAATTCAGCCGAGGCTTTGAACTCTGGCGGAAGAATGCAAAATGTTAATTTACAGACTGACATGCCAAAGATTCTTATCATTTTGCTTTTGCAATAGAACAACAGCAGCTGCTTCTTACCTGGAAAAGAGGGACAACACTGGCCACTGTCTCGGGATCTGCTGGGTCCTTGATCAGAATGCACAGATAGTATATAATGCTGTGCTGAGGTGGAAACACACAAAGGTGATTATTTTGGACCGTTTCTAAATCAAAATGTCCATCAGACACAAGAGTCACTTGAGAAAACGGCATGTTTACCATATAAACAGCCTCGTTGATGACAATGTCTTTCATCTTGCTCATCTCAATGAAGATCGTGCTTTCTCGCCCAGATGCATAAGATGAAGACAGCTGGACACCGAGGGAACCGATTATGAGAAGGGTCTCATGGTCCACCTTCACGAAGTGAATATGAATCATCATCCCAGCCAAAGTGAGGATAATGGCACTCGACAGGACAGCCGTGTTCTAGACATTAAATAAGTAATTATTAGAAGAATAATCTCATTTTAGTATTAGAAAGCTTACAAGTTCATATTCTTGCAGTATAAAATGTTCTTACCTCGGTGAAGAAAAATACAGCATAAGCAAATAACCAAACGAAGCAGGTGTAGACCATCACCTTGCGCAAGGACAGTTTCGGCGAGGTGACTGTGAACTCTCTGCAGAAAGCAGAGTGAGTTTGGCAGTCTAAAGAAATCGAGTTGCCATTTATGTCTGTGAACTCTTCCTCGGCCATGTTGATCACCGTCAGAACATTATATGAATAAGGATTTAGGATTAAATAGCTTTGCTTTGACGGTCACTTGACAACAAACAGCGGAATCTTCTTCGTATGGGGTATGGCGTTGGAACATTAATAGAAACGTGTTTTTCCGCCACCTACTGGACTGGGGTGAGGAAAATGTAAGAATTCGCTCTACAGGTGCATCTCAATAAATTAGAATGTCGTGGAAAAGTTCATTTATTTCAGTAATTCAACTCAAATTGTGAAACTCGTGTATTAAATAAATTCAATGCACACAGACTGAAGTAGTTTAAGTCTTTGGTTCTTTCAATTGTGATGATTTTGGCTCACATTTAACAAAAACCCACCAACTCACTATCTCAACAAATTAGAATACTCCATAAGACCAATAAAAAAAA